GTTAGAGCATCAGCCTGCGGTCCGGAGAGACCCGGGTTTGGTTCCCGCTAAGGGCATGTACCTCAGTTGCAGTTTGTCCCCGGCCCTGGTTGGGTCGTGTGGGTGGCAACCACTCGATGTGTCCCTTTCATGTCGATGTTTCTCTCTCTCTCTCTCTCTCTCTCTTCTCTCTCTCCCTCCCACTCTATCTGAACAAAATATCAAAAAAAAGTGTCCTCGGGTGAGGAAAAAAAAAATTGGCCCTGGCCGGTTTGGCTCAGTACTTAGAGCATCGGCCTGAGAAACAAAGAGTCCCGGGTTCAATTCCAGCCAAGGGCATGTATCTCGGTTGCGGTTCATCCCTGGCCTCAGTTGGGGTGGTGCAGGTGGCAACCAGTGGATGTGTCTCTCTCGCATCAATGTTTCTCTCTCTCACTCTCTCTTCCTCTCTCCCTCACACACTCTCTGAAGATAAATGGAAAAATATCCTGGGGTGAGGATTAAAAAAAAAAATTAGACCCAGACTTACCGTACAGTTCAGCAACTACACTTCCAGTTACGTTTCCAAAGAATTGAAAGCTGGGACTTGAATAGGTATCTGTGCACCCATGTTCAGAGCACCCTTATGCACAATGCCGAAGGTGGGAACAAATTAAATCATGGATGACTGGGTGAACAAGATGTATATACACAAACAGTAGTGTATTTGCAGCCTTAAAAAGAATGACACATGCTACAACGTGGGTGAACCTTGAAAACACTGTGTAAAGCGAAACAAAGGGCCAGGTATTGTAAGATTCCACGTATGTGAGGTAACCTCCGAACCCCAGAGCAGAAAGTAGATGTGGCTGGGGAGGCGGCAGTGGGCGTCGCTGTGCGTTGAGCCCGGTTGGGGAAGGCGAGAAGTTGTGGAGGCGGAGGGCGGTGATGGTGTACAGCAGTGTAATTGTACTTCACGCCCCTGAATTAGACACTCAAAAATGGTTAAAATGATCAATATTATGTTAAGTATATTTTACCACAACAAAAAATTAAAATGTAGCCCAGCATGGACTAAATCCAGAGGAGTGATGATGTTTGACTCTGTGAGTATCTGGGTCCACCACTCTTAATATTTTAATTTAATATGCTTTTTAATATTTGCCATTATCCACAATCTTCTCTGTCTGACCTTTAAGCCTGCATAATAAAGGAATTAAGAAATTAGGGATGACACCATGTGTCACCTGCTGTGTGGTGTCATAAAGCAGTGGCCTTCATAGGGATACAATGTACAGCATAGGGAACAGTGTCAGTAATATATTAACCATGTACAGTGACAGATGGTTACTAGACTTATCGTGGTGATCACTTTGTAAGGTATATAAAAATGTTGACTCACTATGGTGTACACCTGAAACTAATATAAAATTGTATAATAAATTAAAAATAAAAATTAATAATTAAAAGTAACAATTAAAAATAAAAAATTTAAAATGCACCCCCCCCTAAAAAAAACAAGCAGGAAAAGATGAACCAAAAACTTACATGCCCATGAACACAGACAATAGGGCGGTGAAGGGCTGGGGTGGGACAGAGCCAGGAGGAGGGGGAAGTGGGGGGTTATATCTGTAATCCTCTCAACAATAAAGATAATTTTTTTAAAACCCAGCAAACCAAACAAACCAAAAAAATAAGGTGACGACTTTGGCCTCCAAGGGCCACCAGTAGCAATGCACACCCTGCCCCAAGCCCTGCAGCGACCTCCCACTGAGGCTCCTTGAAGGGCCTGAGAGACCTGGAAGGCTCTGAGCCAGTCTCCGGACTCTGGTCTCCAGCACATCTCACATCTCGGAGCAGCTCACCCAGTTCTCTGCTCCGCCGCCGCGAGCTCCCATCCTCCACACTGTCGAGTTATTTCCTGCTCAGAACATACTCTTCTCTTCCCTCTGCTGAGCTAACATTTTCTTTCTTCGGAGTTCAGATCAACTGTTACTCCCACAGGAAACATTTCCTCACCTAGAATCAGGTTTAATCTTCTTGTTACGTATTCTTTCAAAACCATATCCTTCCTTGGAAATGTTTTTATATTTATTTGTTTGATTATTTGATGAATCTCTGTCTCTCCCACTGATAAGCTCCAGTAGAACAGGGACACTCTAGTTTTTCTCACCTTTGAATCCTGAGCTCACAGAGTGCCTGGCATTCAGTCAGCTCCTCAACCATTATTTGCTAATGAATGAATGAATGAATGAATGAATAGAAAGATAACAAACAATAATGATGTTAAAGGTTTTCCTCCAGTTTATAAGGCAGGGATGCTGTCCCCGGCTCATCTAACAGCACACTCTTCTCCATGTAGGACAAATAGAGAAAATTAATATTATTACAAAACAAAAGATATAATACATTTTAGATTGACAGTAAAAAATAAAAAGCTCTTGAAGGTAGGGGTTCATTTTTACCACACTGCATATTCTATGCTGATTTAAAAAAAAAAAAAAACACACAAAAACTTAAAAGCACAATTTGAAACCAGAATGGCACTTCTTTTAATTTTCTCACACTGTTAGTCATTGATCTGCATTCATATTTCAGCGAAAATGCCATTGAATTCAGAAGAAATCTATTTAACCTGCATGGTATTCAAAAATTGCTGGAAAAGCTTAGCTCCTGTACTCTGTCCCAGTGACCTTGTTAAGCAGGTGTGTTAAACACTTAAATGTATAATTTTCTACAGGCGCTTTGGTAAAAACATTCTTTCTCCTTTCTCACGTCTTCTGCAAACCTCATTATCCTTCTTGTGACCCTGTAGGCATCTCATTTTCTTTTGGCTTGTTTGCAAGTTTGAAAATATTAACTGCAGCTCCTGCTTCAGGAAGGGTTGCTTGGCTACTACTCTCCATTTTTAGAGTGTGAATTCTTTTCCTTAGCGTCGCTACCTTGAATAATGAAGTTGAATGCATTTTCAAAGAAGCAAGGCATAATTAAAAATCTCTTACCTTTATTAAGTACAGCAATAGTTATTCTCATTTGGAAGACCAAGGGGAATATACATGGAAGAATATGTATTAATTTTGAACAATGTGGAAATGAAATTAAAATAAGGTTATAAAGTGTCAGTCACCATGGAACTGGGGGAAAGGAGCTGTCAGACATCAGATGCCAGTTTTAAGTAAGGTAAGTAGGAGCAAGAATGTCCAAGGATTGGCTTTTGGCATTATTGTCATCTTTAAAAATGATGTAGAAAAGAAAAAAATATATACAAGTGAAAACCTTACAGCTGGTATTGAGGTCTAGGAGACAGTGAAATGCTGAACAATGACTTCAAGAAAATTTATGCAGTGACTTTCGTTTTCTTCTCTAGTAAATTCCAGGCATTGTGCTGTACTCGGCATATGAGGCATAACTGCATGATACACAGTCCCTGCTCCAGAGGCCCTCCCTTGAACTATTACGTGATTGACACAGAAAGGCATTGCCTATTTTAGCATTTCTCAAAGTGGGCTTCACTATGGGATGCTAAAAAGAAGTCCAGCAAGACTTCTCAGAGCCTTTAATATGTTAATGAATAGAAAGAATCATTTCTACGAATGGGGTATATTACGCATTGGTTCCCAGATTTATTTGAAGATACCATTTGGTTATGTTTTTTGCTTTGCATTTGTGTGTCTGTTTTTGAATAAACATGTGAACTTGGGAAATTAGTATAGCTTGGAACATACTCTGGCAAATGCTGACACTAAAAATAGAGATGTCTGGCCCTACCAGTGTGGCTCAGTGGTTGAGCATCAGCCCACGCACAGAGACGTCGCTGGTTCAATTCCTGGTCAGGACACATGCCTGGGTTTTGGGCTCTATCCCCAGTAGAGGGTGTGCAAAAGGCAGCCGATTGATGCTTCTCAATCACATCGACATTGCTATCTCTCTCCCTCTCCCTTCCTCTCTCTCTCAAACCAATAAAAACATATTAAAAAAAAAATAGCGATGTCTGGAATTCAAAGAATTTTGGAAATTTTTTAAATCAAATATTTACTAAGTGCTTAAATCACTGAGAAATGGCATAAGGCCCCTTACCAGGTAGCTCTTAAAACTCAGTACCCCTTCATACTAGCAATACTCCTAATGACCCAAAAGTGGAAACAGCCCATGTGTCCATTAACTATGAATGGACAAACAGCATGTGATATATCCATACAATGCAACACTATTCAGCCATAAAAAGTAATGAAGTACTTATACATGCAATAACATGTATGAACTTGAAAACATTCTAGTAAGTAAAAGAAGTCAGACACAAAAGGCTACATACATGATTCCATTTAATTTAAAATGTCCAAAATAGGTAAATCTGCAGAGAAAAAAAGCAGATTCGTGGTTTCCAGGGACAGGAAGGAGAGGAGAATGAAGAGAGTTGAGATTTCTTTTAAGAATGAGGAGAATGTTTTGGAATTATAATGTAATAATGGTTGTATAACCTTGTGAATATATCAAAAACCACTGAATAATATCTTTTGAAAGGATGACTTTTATAATATTTGAATTGTATTTGAGTTTCAAAAATTCAGGACCCCACTATACCAAATGGTTATTCCTCCTATATTATAGGAATTGAGAACACAACCATTTCTTGTCAACAACTGTATTTAATGAAGATACTAGCTGTTATTTACAGAAGATATACATACATACAATTCCTACACATTTAAGGTAGCCTAATTGTGAAAACAGAAGAAAAATGTACCCAAAATTATATACTAAATAAAATAAATAAAAAGTAATTATTTGGCACAATATCTATTATGTAGCAAATAAATAACTCTATACCATTGATTGAATGAACTATATACAATCTAGTTGAAAGTGCAAAACGATTGCTGAAAATTAAGATATTTGTAATAACATTTAAGTCCAGAAAATATGTTTTTTTTTTTTAATTGGTAACAATAATTAGCCAATAGTAAAGGTTTTTAATGCCCAGGAAAATATTTTAATTTTGAAAAATGTTTTGTGCATATTGTGCTCTTCTGAAATGTGTTTTTTTTTTTTGTTTTTTTTTTTGCTTTTGTTTTTTTATCTAAACGCTGGCAATTTTAAGAACCTTGGAGTTTCTTAGTGGAATTCTTATGTATGTAATCCTGATTTGTAAGTTTAAAAAAGTTACATTGTAAACATAAATATTATTCTATATATCATTCAGAAATTACAGACTGGTCCTCCCTAAATTACATAAATAGCCATAATGTTTTATAGTAAGATGGTCAGGTTCAATTTCTTCAGAGATAAGACTATGAAAATGGAAGAATACAACCTATAATTTGGATTTATATTAATTCCTCAACACCCTCCGAAAACCTCATGCTCCAAATCAAGAAGTTGAGTTAAAAATGATGAAACTATACGACCACTGATGTATCCAAATAAATCTCATTTGTAGCACATCTCACTGTGTAAACACTCTTAGAAAAAATGTTGGGCTTGATATTTCTCTTGACAATAGCATTTCTACCAAGCTCTTCATGTGGGTCTCACTTTATGTTTCAGCAAAGAAGATGGCACAGTTGGAAATGAAATCAGATGACTACAAACTGGAGAATCTTAAGCTAGAGAGTGCAAGCTTGATGCAAATAATTTCTTCTCTTGTCATGACGCTGGTAAGCTGAATGCGGCCCTGAGCTGTCTCAGGGTGTGTCTTTGCTTGTTTTGTAGAATTCTCTAGTGACAATACAGTTGGTAGTAGCATAAATGCCATTTTTGAAAGATCGTGGACTGGAGGCAAACCACTGTTCGGGCACTTTAAATGTCTATGGTCGCCGAGGCTCTAATCGGTGTGACATCTGTGATAAAGTTCTCTGGTTGTCAATCACATTTAATTGCCGTACATAACTCCGGACATCCTGATGGTTCTTATTAGCTTGAGCTGCATCAAGATCTGTTGAAAGAGAAGAATTGGCATTGCGTAATATATGCATGTAAGATACCCTTTATGTTCTCCAGCTACTTATTACACTTATGTTAGGTTGCGGGTTCCATCAAGACTTTTCAACAGCGCCATGGTCATTGAAATGTTTCTACTTGGATGGTCCTCCCTCTCACCCTTTTCTTCCCTGGAATCACCTATTTACATAATTTTTCATTGCATTGCTTGTTGTAAAAAAAAAAAAGGGGGCACTAAAAAGAAGTGAAAACATCACCTGATAGTCCCTAGCTGTACATTAAAATTGTTTCCCCATATCACCCCACCTATGTCTCGTACTCTGACCTCTGTCCCCTCTGGTCCAGATGTGGACTAATGATAAAAGACAGTTTTCATTAGCTCCTAACAAAAGCACTTAAAACCCAGGCTGACCCGAAGCAAGCCAGTGAGACTGGTAAGTCCAACTGCCCTCGCGACTTATACAATATAGAGCATCACTGTGTAAGTTGTGTGTTCTTTGAGATCTCCACATTCAGAAAGAACAACAGCTCATAGGTGGAAGTCAGGACTTTTGCTAGACCTTTGATTCTCTGATGCAACTTGTTCTGAAATCCCAGTTTCCATTCTTTTCTCATTCACTTCCCAAACATGTGAGCAGCAGAGCTATCTGACTGGCTGATTTCTCTAAAACCAGACTGAAGGAGGGATAAAATATACATGAACGAGGAAGACCAACTTTGACCTCGGTGACCCAGAAACACAGGCCCCTCCAGGCCTCTTCGCCCGCATCTGCACCCAGAGTCGCCAGCTTTTCCTGTTATTCTAGAGAAATGAGAAATCTGAATTTCTTCCTTGGCAATTCTCCCAATTATTAAGTGGTGACATTATTTTAAAATAAAAGGTTAAAAAATGCTTGGTTGAGACTCAACACTTCTGCTGTGGTCCTTGGGCCACCTCTGCCCGTGGATCCCCAGTGTGCATGCCTTCTGCAGTTCACGTGCTCGGCTCGGGTGCTCACACCGCTCCCCGAGACCATTCGCGTGCCATCTGCCTACGGGGCGAAGGGGAGTGTTGCAGGTCTGAACACAGAAACGCAGAGAGAAGATACAAAGGCGCCTACTTGCTCTAAGAAGAAACTCATCAGTATAATTATCACATATAAATAATAGCACAGTGTCTAATGCCCTCGCTTCTCACTAGCAGTGTACTCCACATGTACAATATACTGTAATTACATTGTACATATTCCCATGGTTATGCATCTATTCCTATAGCTTTATCTATAGATTGTTGACTTCGGAGCCGAGCAGCTGTTGTTTACCAGCAGTTACTGATAACGTCAACAAATGCCGTGAATATATATGTAATCCCCGCCCCCCACGGGCTCCAGGGGCAAATGTGGGCGAATAGGAATTTACTTCCAAAGAGGCTTATAGAATAAAACATATTTTGTCTTGGTTCTTTGGACCTTAATAAAAACCCTCTCAAGGCTACGAACCCTTTCAGGCACATAAAAGTTTATGTTCGAGTTCAGGAGTTTCCTGGACGCCCTGAAGGGCATGGGTCCTAGATTATACACCCTTGTTGCAGACTGGCACCACTTACGTATCCTCATATTCACTTGGATAACTGCTTTATGACCATGTCTTACTTTTTTTTTTTCTTTATTGATTTTAGAGAGAGAGAGAGAAACATCGATGAGAGAGAACATTGACTGGCCACCTCTTGAATGCCCCCCTCTGGGGACTGAGCCCACAACCTGGGCATGTGCTCTAACCGGGAATCAAACTGACAACCTCTTGGTGCATGAATCGATGCTCAACCATGGAGCCACACCAGCTGGGCTATGACCATGTTTTTATACATACAGTAAGTTACTAGATACAGATATGAAACACTTTAACTGGCAGAATCCACATAGGAGTGGTTGATGATATGCAAGACTATTCTCACTTTGGAAGAACAAGAAGGCACAATCATTTGAATCAATTTTTAAAGGTCTATTTGCTCTCCGAGTCAAGATTATTTTTTCTAGATAATTTCTGCTGCACATTTTAAAAAATGAACATTTAGCGATTCTGGCATTCCAAGAAAGCAAACCCTTGCTTTGGCCAATCTTGTGCTAAGAAGAGCAAAGAAGCTCTAATGAATAAAACTGAGAACTTTTTAGCCTCTAAGCAACAGGTTTCTGGTAGGGGATGGGACTGGTAGCCTCACAGTCATGTTTATATCCAATTATCGCGTTCACTTAATGAGCCAAGTGACTTCCAGTGACTCAACAATGAAGCTAGCAAAAAACTTCACAGGGGCCACCTTTCCACCCCCGACCCAATTTGAGAGAGCCAGAGCCCCATCCCCCGCCCAAAGTCCCAGCCCGGAGGAATGGCAGCACTGGACTGGCATGCTGATCTGGTGCTGATGCAACTTCACTCCAAACAGTTTTAAATTGCTATTCATTAGTACTAGTAGTTTTATAGTAAAGCACTGTGTTACATCAGTTATTTTGCTGTATATTCAGATTTTAAAAAAGCACCTTAAATTCACCTGGGAATACTAGAAATATAACATAAACTTCTGCTATGGAACCTTTTACAAAGGTGCTATCCACATTAATGCATTCTTGCAACACCTCAAGAAACAATCAATACTATCTTCCCCAGTTTGGAAACGACAGAACTGACTCATCAAGAGTTGGCGTGAGTGTCTCAACATGAAGCAGGGAGTCATAGAGTTGTCTCGAGACAGGATTTGTTGGCAATCATGCCTTAGTTGTCTCTAGCCACACTGGAAAAAGCAAACTAATTCTCTTTAAGTTCACTCTTAAATAATATTCCTATGGTTATTTTCAAGTTTCACAACTAGAAGATCCTTAAATTCAGGCTTCTGGCCCCTGGATTTCATGGTCCAAAATGTCTCTGACATAATAAAACAGTGTCCAGACCTCTAGAATGTCTCAGGCTCATTAACAAGGCCTCAGTCCCCACGGATCCATGTTGCAGCATTGAACTTACTGAAAGGTTGGCTTCTGCAGTATCTCACTGTTCTGGCAGTATTTGCAATCATGCGCTAAAAAGAACAAAGAGAAAAGGCTGAAATGCAAGTAAGCTTAGTGTATAGTCCAAAAAGGAAAACAAACCATTATTTATTTCGGCAATACCTGGGCCTGTGAAAAACAGCCTGCTCTGAGATGTTGACTATCTGGAGGCAACTGGCTGGTGCAGAACCGTCTAATTACTTGAAGGAGGCGCCCACACTCACGTACAAGGCATTTGCCAGGTGAGGAATATGGATGGCGGATTCCACTCTATTGTTTGTGGGTTCTCAGGACACACAGCGGAGTCTGCTGTTCCTGAGATACCTTACTCCTGAGGACTAGCTCTCACCTTCTGGAGGTCACTATGGATCTGTAAGAGGATTTGTAACTATCCGACATTTGGAGAAGGGTCAGCTTGTCAAGTTCCTCAGTAATGAGGCAGTAGGTCATACTGACTGAACAGTCACAGGCAAGATGTGCTACCTGTACCTTTTCTATTCGCTGTGTGTTACTGACCTTTCTAATTCTAGCAAAAGTGTGTTTCAGTGTTAATCTCCCTCCCCCCTCCCTCCTTCCCTCCCTCCTCACTTTGTTTCTTATTATAACACGAACACATGCACATTTAAAAAAATACAGAAAATGTTAAGAACAACATAAAAACCACTCAGAATGTCACTGCGCAGAGGAACCTCATTAATATTTTGGTATTTTTTTTTAATACTTTAAAACTGAATATATAACAACATACTTTTTTAAAAGGTTGAAGTCATATTTTTTTTTTATCTTTTTATTTTTTATTTTTGGTATGTGTCCCTAGCGGGAACCGAACCCAGGACTCTCTGGACTGTAGGCGGCTGCTCCAACCGCTGAGCCAAACCGGCCAGGGCGAAGTCATATGTATTTTTAATTTAAATTTTTTCCACATGGCATTGTGACTACTTTTGATGCTGTCTGCATTTAAAAACATTTAAAAATGAGTAGGCATTCAATAATATGGATGGATCATAATGTATTTAACCTTTGTTAATTTTGTCATTAAATAATCTTGAATTCTTTGTAAAATTTCTTTGCCATAATGACTTATTAGGAAATCTTTTGTACTTTACTCAACTTAGTAAAAAACAAAAGAAGAAAGGAGGGGAAAGAAATGAAGGGACCAAACATGAGGAAAACATTAGTGAGACCTCAGTATCATTTCTTTTTTTTTTTTTTTCTTTAAATATTTTTTTAATTGATTTTTAGACAGAGAGGAAAAGAGAGAAACATCGATGAGAGAGAACATTGATTGGCCGCTTCCTGCATGCCCCCCACTGGAGGTCGGGCCCACAACCCAATCCCCACGGTGTCCTGACTGTGAATTGAACCGGTGACCTCTTGGTACATGGGTCAATGCTCAGCCACTGAGCCACACTGGCCAGGCCTAAGCACCATTTCTTACCTAGGATGTATGTTTCTTGCTCATGGTATCTTTTTTTTTAAATCCTCACCCGAGGATATTTTTCCCTTGATTTTTTGAAAGAGTGGAAGGGAGGGTGAGAGGGAGAGAGAGAAAGAGAGAAAAACATCAATGTGAGAGAGACACATCGATTGATTGCCTCATGCACAACCTCGACCAGGGCCAGGGACTGAACCACCACTGAGGTACGTGCCCTTGACCGGAACTGAGCCCGAGAGTCTTTGGTCCTTGGGCTGATGCTCCAACCGCTGAACCAAACTGGCCAGGGCTTGCTCACGGCATTTTAATAGTAGCTGGGACCAGTCTCCGTGTACTGTCTCAGGACACCTCTGCTACTCAGACTCCAACGGGGCCCTGCAGAGATGGCGGGTTTACTCTGACACTAGCAGACAATTGAAAAGGCTCCAGCCCAGCAGTGAGACTTTCCTCATCTCTGAGTGGCCATATACAATTCTATTCTTTGCTATCTTCTTTTATGCACCTTTGGCACGCCAAAGTATAGAAAATGACTTTGAGGAAGCTTATGCAATTTTAAAAAACAAAAACAGCCCTGGCCGGTTTGGCTCAGTGGTTAGAGCGTTGGCCTGCGGTCCGGAGAGACCCGGGTTTGGTTCCCGCTAAGGGCACGTACCTCGGTTGCAGTTTGTCCCCGGCCCTGGTTGGTAGTGCGGGTGGCAGCCACTCGATGTGTTCCTTTCACATCGATGTTTCTCTCTCTCTCTCTGTTCCTCTCTCTCCCTCCCACTCTACCTGAACAAAAAAATGGGAAAATGTCCTCGGGTGAGGATAAAAAAAAACCCAAAAAACAACTTATTTTGCAGGACAAAAATTCCTAGAAGAGTCAGAGCTTTAGAGATACACCTAAGTGCACATTCACTGTACTTTATCGAACACTCCAGCTTCAAGGACTGGCGAGCATTCGGTGACATGCATCTGCATTGGATCATTCCTCACACACAAAGAGGCAGTCGGAGAAGTTCGAACTTCACTTTCATAAAGGATCCTAAAAACCAGCACGTCTGTTGATCAGCATGAGAAATATATTACAAATACCTCCAAGAAACTATAGCATACAATGTATAATTAGCCTCTGATCTATGGAGCCCTGAAATAAACAGTAACTATGATAATTTTCCTGCTAATTTACTTTAAGTTGTTTTTTCACTTCTCTAAAGACTTTGCATCTGAAGGGCACAAGTATATTCCATGTAGAATTATTGTAATTCTTTAGACATTGAATGGAGTGTAATTACTGAAAATCCTGGGAAATGCTGCCGGCATGCCCCTCTGAAGAATAATAAAACAATTAGCAGGGGTCAGAAACCTCTTCCTAGACCACTTTGTAGGGAGTAATTGTTCTGCTTTTTAGTTTTGAAAGCTAAAACATTTCATTCTGACTTTAGTTTTAGATGACTCTTTATAGCCATACTCTGAGGCTTCATCATTTTTAGCTCATTATGTAGTTTAAAATGTGAGAACAATTGTTTAAATCAGTAATTTCCAGCTCCGGAGTTCATTCTACCTTTCTACATCTTTGATTAATTTTAACAATGGTTTTAATTTTGGCGTATCCTTTTTAATTGCACTCAAAGATAACTTCAGCTTAACTGGAAATCTAAATATGGTTTTGCAACAAGGTTTATAACTTGCCTACTATCGGGCTTTCCACTCGTTAAATGCAACCCACAAGGAGGAACGCATGGCCCTCTAAGGAAAGTCCCTTTCGAGGCTGACACTTTTCTATTAGAATTTTTTGTATTGAGTCAAAGTTTTTTCCCTTTGCGTTTCACCCAGTGACCTTGTCCTGAGCCCCGGGAGCCAGAGCAAACATGCCTAGTTCCTTTTTAACAGGATGGTTATTCAAGTACTTGAAGACAACTATGATGGACAGCTCCCCGCCCTGCGTCTTTCCCGGTCAGCCTAAGTACTGACAACTTCTTCCACCATTGTTCATAAGAAACTTCTGGGTCTCTTCCGGACAGTCTCCAGTGTGGTGCCTCAGACTAAGCTAATCACAGAGTGCAGAAGAATTCTTTCCTTCGTGGGTCTGGACGAAACTACACATCCAAGTCCACGATTTAAGAAAAGGTCCCGTTCCTGACATCTGTCGAACTAACAGTGAATTAAATCTCTCCTCCTATGTCATGAGCTGCTGTTTGGATTCAGCTTCCTTCTCTGTAGATATGCAGTTTATTTTGGGGCCAAATGAAAGGATCTTGGCTTTATCTCCACTAAAAGCCATCTGTTAGTCGTTCTGCCCTCCTGCACACGGAAGCCTCCCCTGGAAGCCACGGTATTCTCAGCTAAGGTCGACAGAAACGAAGGTGGAAGAGCCCTTACTACCCACTGACACAGCAGGGGTGATGCTGAGAATTCTCCCCTGGGCTCCCCGTCCTGCCGGAGCAGGTTGGCCTGTCTTGTCAGGCCGGGCAACTTTCCTGTCATGCCAGGGGGACAATCCCTGCTACTCCAAAGCAGGCTTCTCATCTTTTTTTCTATCTCAGCAAACCTGACGGAGGTTTGTGACACGCTCTCATTAGCAACCGGCTTATTAAAACAGCGATCTGTCATTCAGGGATAGGCACGCCACGTGGGTGTGGGTGGGTGTCGGTGGACAGCATGAACTGCCCCCTCTGCACACTGGAACGAATTCTGATACCCTCCACTCCCTGTCAGAACCACCACTGCAGGACTGCTCATCGGATTCCACCAAGAAATCGGGGCGGGTTTCAGGTTCAGACGGGCAGGCGTGCCCGGCAGCACCGCCTGGCACCGTGACTCTCTCGACCTCCCTCGCAGGCAGCTGCCAGCACAGCCTACCTCGCCCTAGCGGCCGAGTCCCTCGGGGAGCTGTGCCCAGACTTCAGACCTCTTAAATGCCTGCCCTCCATAGTCTTGTCTTTCCTTCTGTTGCCCCTTGAGGTCTTTGCCATCCTTGTTCTATTTAATTTTTTTTTTCTTTATTGATTTTAGAGAGGAAAGGAGAGAGAGAGACAGAAACATTCATGAGAGAGAACATCGATTGGCCACCTCCTGCATGCCCCCCACTGGGGATCAGGCCCACAACCTGGGCATGTGCCCCGACTGGGAATCAAACCGGTGACCTCTTGGTGCATGGGTCAATGCTCAACCACTGAGCCACACTGGCCGGGCGCTATCCTTGTGCTTAATGCTTGCCAGATTCCCTTTCTTTCTTTGTTTCTACCCACACTGATCCGCCCCTGTCTGTATTCCTGTCAAATATAGAATCTCAGTCAATGATTCCACCTTTACACCATCTGATCATTTCACTTGGACTCTCATATATTTGGGACAAGAATTTTTTTCCACAGCAAGATCTAGAAATATATAGTCTCTCAGCTACAAAGATTGTGCCCATGATAGCCACCAAGTAGAATTAAGTGCATTATAAGGACCAGAGTTAAAAGATAAAGGCCCTGAGCTGAGCCAGCCCTCACCCCATGCATCACTGAGGAAGAGCCCCGTGTCCAGTCCCCTGACTATAGACCTTTTATGTCCAAGAGGTGTGTGACATACAGATACACGTATATAACACACGTGATGGTATATTGTACA